CAAACATATCGCAGATGCGTCTTTTCATCGCAAGCCTCAAATCATATTCAATATCTCAGTAAAATCTGTTGGAAACATTGAAATTTGAATTTGAATTTTTCGAACCAAGTCTTTTGTTGTATATTTAAATCGCAAATTATCACTTTGGATGAAATCTCATGAGTCATTCTTCTGAAATGTTCTTGGAACTAAATGAAATTTTTGAAACACTTCAAATACGTGTTTTAATACATGTGACGTTTGGGGTCCCGAACATATTTCAGATTACGAATTTATGCAAGCGAAGACATTTTGCAGTATTTACTGTGTAAAGTGTTTTGTTTTGCTTTTCTCTCATAATGACGAGAACTTATACCGGCAAATGTATAAAGTGATCCGGAATCGATCCGAGATCGGTCAGCTCTTGTAAACCATTGTTGTCACAACTTTAGAAACCCTACCTATTGAATGTAGTGTAGACCCCAACACTGTTAAAAATTAGAGGCCTAATTGTTGCATCTACCGGAATATCATGGAAAAAATAACGGTCGGTAATATTATTCTTAAGGCTTATTTCAGGTAAAGTAATCTGTTAGAGGTAGCAGGGATGAATGATCAATGGTGGGGGAAGGAATGCTAATTTAAAAAAAAAAAAAAAAAAAAAACAAAAAAAGAAAAAGAAAATTGGAGCGGAAAAGGAACGAATGAAAATGAAGCCGAGAGATTGGATGAGTTGTATCAGACTGAAAAATTGAACCGTTGTCCACTGTTGGCAGATGTCACTTAGTTACAAGTACAATGAGCAAAGGTTATATTGTCGGCAATTCTGACAGATTGACCAGTGTGACCAAAATTTAAATAATTTACGATTGTAAATTAAAACGAAAAAAGGCAGCTGACTAAACGAAACAACAGAAGGTTATTCGAAATAATAGGAAAGTTGAATTTAATAAGTATCAATCGATCAGTGCACTGAAATGTCATTCCGTCGTGCAGAAATTAAACAAACATTATAACTTGCCTTTTATAAAAAGCATTAAGGCCTTCATGGGCTTAGTATGGGAATAATCATTCATTAGCGTTTTGATTTCATTTCGGAATGACTTGTTTGATTTCATTCTTTCATTCTATCCTTTCATTTCAACAATTTATACCTAAAATGGATTTGAGTTGTCCTGATTTACATCCTGTTGCAGAACTTTGAATATCTCATGTGTGATTCAACTTTTTTATCACTGTAAGGGTGGTAATTAAAAGAAATGAAAATTTGCAATTTGAAATTGGGACATTTTAAAACATTCAAGATTGGAACAATCCCTAGCGATGACAACTGTCATCAAGTGAGCAAATCAGCTATTCCCTCCTGACTATGCGATATCCGTGTTACTAAAACAATGTTCAGCTCAGTGAAGGGAGAGGAATATTTTATTTCGATTTACAATATTGATTAAATTTCAAAAAGTATTGTTATTTAACAACGACAAGGATGAAATTATGATTTTGCAAAATGCATAAGCAAATTCCTTTAAGGCATCGATTATGACTTCAGGCCTAAGAATTTTGTGACATAATGAAAAGTACAAATCTGCGATACATTGGTGCAAACAAAATCAACAGGAATAAGAGAACAGATATTAAAAGGGATTGCTTCATTGTCGCCGATAAGTCAATTGCTTCTATCTTCTTGCTGCTGCTCCTGGTGGTCCTTGTGTTCCTTGCTCGCCTTGTGGACCTTGAGGCCCTACTGGTCCTCGATTCCCAGGAAGACCTCTTATTCCTGGAGGTCCTCGTTCTCCCATCTCTCCCATTATTCCTCTAGGTCCTGGCTCTCCTGGTGGTCCCTTCTCTCCTTTCATACCATCCTTTCCATCCGGTCCACTCGGTCCTGTTTGTTGAGGTAGACAAGCCTGAAGCTAAAATTTGTACAGTTATTGTAGATTACTTGCAATTTTATCCCGTTTCTAACTTAAGAACAATTCATTAAAGAGCTCACCTGAACCACGAAAATAGCGCAGATGACAAATAAGGAAGTACTAACAAGATGCATTGATACTGCTAATCTAAAATTTGTATTTTATAACGATTGAAATTTTTCGAATTTCATTTCAAATCTCCAAATTTTTAATCTTTTGAAACTCTTCAAGTGGCCGAAGAAAAGGATTGCCAAACAAGGTATTTAGGTTGCTTCGAAAAATCATTTGCCAAGAGCAGTCTTTGACGATGGAATCTTCTCTTTAGTTATCATCCTTAATTTTTAAACCAAAATCATAATTGATAAGTCATAGTTTTACAAATCCGCCTGGAAAATTATAATATCGTTGAATATATGAGAAAAGATTTTAAGATTCAAATTGAAACTTGAAAAAGCAAATTTGGAAGAGAAATCTTCTATTTATATTGAGAAGAAGGATATCTGATATGAATCTTTCCGGGAATTCAT